TTTGCTGTGGCTGGGGGCACAGGGACAGCTGGGACAGCAACTGCTTTAGCAATCCAAGTTTAATCTGCCTGCGTCCGTGAGTCAGCACCCTCCTAGTACATCTGTCTCCAGCAGGGAGGGAGGACACGCATGCCGGAGTAGCAGAGCCTTGCTTTAAAAACCAGACGACTGGGGAGCGGAGTGGGGGGGTAGAGCGGGCTCAAGTGAGCTGTTAAGCAATCGCTAATGACACAAAGTGACACAGCTCCGGCTTTGCATGGATTGAGTAAGGAGTCATAAGATGAGATGTTCATTTAAATGCAGCTCGCTCGGTAACTCCCCAGCTGCGCAGGCTTATCAGGAACGCTGCAAATTTGAGCGTGGCATGCTCTTGGGTCAGTCCAAGGAGGAGAAATTCATCCCAGGATTACCTTTTCCTTACAGATAATGCATTTGCCTGATGCAAGCAATGTAAAGAACTGCAGCCCTTTCCTGTGGGCAGGCTTGTGCTGGCTGAGTGGCAGAGCTTTGTGACAGATAGTCCCCAAGCTTTGGATTTGCCCACATTGCTTACTGGATGCAGGGGGAAATGCTTGGGTATCTCTCCTCTGGCCCAGGCAGGGCAGGGCAATGCACCCTTTGGGGCTCAGGCATTGATCTTTCACACTTGCAAGGGATTTGAGTTGGTGCTTTCCCACTCCCTACTCTTTTAGCAGTGGCAGACTTAGTCTGTGACACCCTAGCAGTGCCACAGTTGGTTTCCTGGGGCTGAAAAGGATCCAGGAGGGTAATGTGGTTTTTTTAAGTCTCACATGGGTTAAACTTGGGAATGCATGTAAAATAAATATGTAGTAATTTTCCTATCATTTTAGTTGGGAAGGAGAAATTGCCTTATTGAACTCAGAAACATTTGCTGGCTCATTCGTTGTGTTTGCTTGTAGCCACACGTATCGGTTGTATCGCGCATCTGTACCTGCCAGAGCGTCACCTGTAAGCCAGTAGTTAATTTGGTTTTCCTGTGCCAGGTCGTAAGAGAGAAAGACCGTGACAGAGTGAGCTGTGCTGGGAGGATGGAGGTGGGGGGTTAAAATGACCATGTCTTAGTATATCATCCTGCAGTGGTGGCTGTAAATGTTCATTGTATTGTAAACGTTTCTCTGTGCAACCTGGTGAAAATGTATAAGGATTTGAAGTTCTGTTCACTTGCTGCTCCTTATCTGAATGTATTTACATCTGCTATGGCCTCTGCAGGGCTCTCTGCCCTGGGCAGCACCTGGCTAAAAACCACCTGGTCAACTGTCTGGGGCCAGCCAGAAACGCCTGCCACCCATCAATGCAGCCCCTGCCCCTCTGCCAGCCCTTCAGCCCTGCTCTGCTTTATGGCAGTGGCACACACAGAGCTCCGTCCTTCCAGCGCTGTCAGCTTCACCCTCCCTTAAAGTGAGGCTGGGGGAACCGAGCGTCTCATTGGTATGAGTGGAGCTCTGCCACGCGTCCATTCCTGGATTTTTAAAGCCAGAAGGGACCGTTGTGTTCCTCTTTCCTGACCTCCCGCATAACACCGCCCATTAAACCCCACCCTGCCGTGGTGACTCACGGCTGAACCAGAGCCCCTTTGGTAGGAAGAAACCCAGCCATGATTTAAAGGCTCCGAGTGACGGACAGACCTCAGGATGTTTGTCACAGGGGTTAATTCCCATCCCGTGCTTCACTTTCACATCATTAAATCTGGTTTTACCTTTGCAGTAGATGAAAGAAACCTCTCCTGCTCCTGCCCCATTGTGCTCCCTGGAGAGGAGAGGTGCTGGAGAAGTGAAATTCTCCAAGGGCATGTCAGAAAACCTGAGTCCAAGCCCCTGCTTTGGCCATGAGTGCAGGGTGTGGGGACTCATGTCCTCCCCCAGCTGTGGCTGTGTCCTCCACCTCAGCTTCGCTGGAGAATGTCTTTCCTGCCCTTGGAGAATGCTTGCCAAAGCCTCTTGCAACCTTCTCTCATTTTCCCCACTACCTATAATGTTTCTTGCACATTAATGACTTCTTTCTCTGTCAAAACTATAACTGGTCACCAGACTCTTTTTATTGAAGTGTACTGGGATGAAACCAGCTCACTTCAACATGCTCACTCTTCTCCAAAAGCAAAAGGCAGCGGCTGTTGCATTCCCTGGGCCAGCCAGGTCCACACAAGCTCTTTCTTTTATATTCCCTTTTTGTATTTCACCAAAAAGGGTTATTTGCAATATCTGGTCATGTTGTTACTCAGTGTATAATTTAGATGTATTTGTCAAAACAAAAAAAAAAAAGAAATAAATTAAAATTTAGTAGAAAGACAACTGGTGTTTGGGGGTGATCTTTTTTTCTTCAGCAGGTTCATCTTCTGACAGGATTGTCTCTTCCCAAGGAGCCCTCAGTCAGGCCACAAAGCTGCTCTTCTGTTGCTCCTGTAACCCCACCAGAAATGGTTGCTGGTACTAGAAGTGATGAAAACTGTTGAAGAAATCTTTTTCCTTTGGATTTTCACTATTCCAAAACTATCAGAGAAGTCAGCCAGCGAGAAAGGGAAACTCTGGGAGGATCTTCTTTTTTCAAAAATCGTGTTGTAGGTTAAAAAAAGCATGTCATGAAACACGTTCTCCACTGACCTGGCAGGAAAAGGGAAGGGGAAAAAGGAAAGCAGCAAACTATTTAGGTTTGGTTCAGTGAAATGGGGTTTGGAGGGAGGGAAGCAAATCTCTTGCTTTCCAACTAATCTGACTCATTACTGTTCCTGCTACACCCAGATGGGCCAAAAATCGAGAAACTATTAGAGCTCTTTAAAGCATCAGCTCCCTCCCTGCACAGTCAGGATGCCTGGAAGGCTGTCAGAGCCACTGGAAAAAAAAACATTATAGATGGTCACACTTAATTTCTTTTCTCTTTTTTTTTTTTTTTAAAGGCACGCTTTATACTCAGTCCTGGTATTTTTTCAGTAAAGTAGGAAATACTTTTTCATCTTGTTTGCCTAATGGATTGGATGTGAAAAATATTTCTCTGGCAAGTGAACACCCTGAGAGTTGTTTGACTTGTCACAACGTTATGTATCGGCCCCTGCGGCCCCCCGCCCCCGAAGCCGCTGCGCTTCCCCTCTCCTGTTGCTGTTTACGGTGGGACGCGGTAATTTATGGGGAGGCTGCGTGTGACCTTGCATGCGTCTGCTCGAGAGAACCGCGGGTCCCTTCCCCGCACAAGCCCCGCTTTACATCCACATGATGAATTTAGTGCTCCCGAAAGGACAAGGAAGCGAGCGGATTGGGCGTGGGGACGAGAAAAAAAAAAGAAAATAATAATCTGCAGCCTGCAGGAGAAAAAAACACTGAGATTTTTGTTCCTCTTTGACCAGTATTTCCCTGTTTATGGCCTCGCACCCCCGGACGCCTGCCTTTATCAGAGCAGAGAAGTGGTCTGTGGCCGCAGAGCCGGATATTTCAGCATCCGCGTTCTCGCTGCGCTGGCATCCCCCAGCCTGGCCCTGCTCTGCTGGGACACGTCGGAGTGGGGCAGCTGGACCCATGGCCACGGCCGTGCTCCAGCCCACCCACCCGGGCACCCACCCAGGCGCTGGCTGAAGCTTTTTTCATTTTATTTTGTTTTGTTTAAGTGGAAACAAGCTCGCACCGTGGCCTCGTGATTGGCTCCTGCCGAAATGGCTGCTTCGGGCTCAGTTGGCTGAATTTGGGCTTGTTGGATTTTTTATTGCAATCTGTTCACTTATTTCCCTTCCCAGCACCAATTGGAAGCAAAACTCTTGTAAAGCTGCAGTCAGGCTGTGGCCGTGCTGGGGGACGCTGTCAAAGGCTTGCTGGAAACAGCATGGGGTTGGGGGATGCCCCCTCTGCAGCTCCTATGTAGCTGTCTGACCGAGATGAATATCTGTATCATTCTTAATGAGAAAAGAGAAAACCACATTCAGAAGAGCAAAGGTTGGAAGGAGCCCCTCTGCTTGCAGTGTGCCCTGGACACCTGACTCCGAGCTGCAGCCCTCACACCCCCAAGTAAATTACCCTAGGAGGAAGAGGGCTGGCAGGTGGGTTAGGGCCCAAGTCTGAGCTCCATTAGGAGCTGGCAGGAACGCCCTGCAAGTAAATCACCTGGATGAGAGATATTTTTAAATAGAAGTTGTCCTTGCTGCTTTGCTTTGCAACATTTATGCTACCAATGGGAGCCACAGCCTGCAAGCTTTAATGCTTCTCTCTCTGACAGGAGCTTGGGGTGCCAAGGGGGACACCATTGGGGACAGCGGGTCCCCCCTGCCGAGAGCATCACTGTGGGCTGGGACACTGAGCTGTCCCCAGCCTGCGACAGCTGGGTCCCAACTGACCAGACAAAGCCCAACATCTTGGGGTGGCTGAGGAAGCTGTCCTGCCCCAGCTCCATCACCCTCCCTGATATCAGACAGAAGGATTTATAAGTATTTTGGGTTCATTTTTATAGCTGGCACCTGTGAGGCCAGAGCCAGGAAGGGATAAGCAAAGGGGCCTTACTGTGGGAGGTTGGGTCAGTGGTGTGGGCATGGAGAGCTGGTCTGGGGAATGGGGAAACAGGCGTGGCAACGTCTCTGCACCTGGGGACAGTGCTTGGGTCTGGGACTGGGCAGAGAGCTGGGCCTGGCTGGCGGCTGCTTTTGGAGCTGGGGCAGGAGCCGCAGCTCTCACAGCCCGGGGGGGTTGGAGGGGCCCTGAATTGGGTGCATTCAGCGCGGCACAGCTGGTGTGGGCTGCGGGGCGGGGGGGCCGCAGTTGCTCCTGACACTTTTGCCTCTGAATGTGATGATAAACTCCCTTTCCCGATTAGCGCTGATCCCTCTGCCTCCAAAACAGTTGGCCCTAATGAACATACGGCCCAACAGCTGTAAGCGGTTATACATATGCATGGATATATATATTTATCCCCCCCCAGCCCATCCATATATACTGGAGATCACAGCTGTTGCTATTCTTCCTTGCAATGCAGATCAGACGCTCTCTCTCTTTGGAGTCTTACTTGACCTATTTTGCAGGCGCAAGATTTTTTGTGATGATGATTTCCCCAGTTGGTGCTTTTGATTCTGCCTGAAACATCTTGATTGAAGGCAAACAATGGCAGCTCCGGCAGCCGGCNGGGGCGGGCGGCAGCGGGTGGGAGTACTCCTGCGACGAGACTGTCCAGGGAAAGTGCCCCGACCGCGGGTAGGGCTGGTGCCCGCTGTGGTTGGACACCGAGGAACAGTAACAGTTATCCACGGAGCAGACGAGGATTTTGCGCCCGCCGTACTGGGAGAGCACGGACTGCTGAGATGACGTGGTGTTGGGGTAGTGAGATGGGTTGAAGACGGAGCCCGAGTGCACCGGCTGCGGGCCGCTAGGAAGTCCAACTATGTGCTGCGTGGAGCTACAAGGCACCATGGCTTGTGCGGACTGCCCCTCGCCAGCCGAAGCGCCCTGGCTCATGTACTGGCTCGCCACAGTCCCGGACGATGGCTCGAGGAAGCTGCCCTCGGGAAAGGCGGTGGAGTGCTTGCGCTTCTCCGCCCCGGAGTTGCTGACGGTGCAGGGGTACATGGGGATGCTCTGCAGGAAGGGGACGGGGGTGCTCAGAGGACCTGTGGAGTGGAACAGGAGAGGGGGATTGTATTAAGCACAGCATGGCACAGCTCCGGGGTGCTCCGGCTGCTGATCGGAAGCTGCAGTGGAGCCCCAAGACGCACATTCCAGCCTCACGTGCGCAGAGGGTCCCCCAGCCTGCCCCACAGCAGTGGGAAACCACGCACACAGCCCTGTGCAGGTGGATTTGCAGATTCAGTTCTGGGCCCTTGCCAGCGGGCTCAGAGCAGCCCCACGCACTGTCCTGCAAACAGCTCGTGAACACAGTCCCTAACAGGAGCAGAGTGGGACAGCCTGGGGGATAAACACGAATCCCCCAAGGAGGGGACTGGGAGGCCTCCACAGACGTGGTCTGCTCCCAGGCATTGGCTGGGGGCTGTGGAACCACGCCAGCCCCTGGCTGTCCCTGCCCACATGCCCCATCTTTCCACTGACTCTTCCTGGCAATGGCCAACCCCCCAAAAGCTCTGTATTTCAGGGTTTTGTGTAACCCCAGAACACAGCCATTTCACAAGACAAAGAAAATGCCCTGGAGAAGAGTCAGGAATTGGCTTTGTGACTCTCCATGCTCCTGCTGACTGCAGAGGGGCTCCAAGGGGCCCTGCCCCAAAGAGATGTCCCCACCCTTTTGTAGTGGGATCTGCGGGGCAGCCAGCTATGGATACAGGAGGTAGTGATGTCCCATGCCCCTGCACCCCTCAGGTTTCACCCACCTTCCAGCAACTTCCTCAGTTGCTTCTCCTTCTTGGCGATCTCGTTCAGGAAGAGCTTGGAGTTGAGGTGGCCGATTTTGGGTGGGGGCAGGCTGCCACCTGTACAGTTCTGAGTCCTGTTGGGGATGGCAGGCAGAGTGGCATAAGTTACAAGGTAGACTCAGGAGAGGGACAGCTCCTCCCCCCACACCCTCCTGGAGCCAAACCCCCTCCCTAGAGTAGGAGACAGAAGTGAGCTGGCTGTCTCTGGCAGGCAGGACCTTTCCCGTCCAGTTTTGCTTGAATGTCCCCTGCCAGGGCACATGGCCTGCACTCCATGTCCCCACTGCACATCCATCCTAGCTCATCTCTGCTAGTGCTGGCTTTAACTCCCTGTCCTGTCTCTGCCCAGTGGAGCTGGATGGAGCCCTGCACCCCAACCCAGCTGGTTGCATCCTCTGCTCTTCCACAAGCACAACACTGAGTTCCCCCCAGTCTACGGAGAGGACCTGATTCACTGGCTGCACGAGAGGAATTTTTCATCCTCCCAGAGAGAGAGGGAAGCTGAGCACAGCATATGCCTCTCTCCCAAGTCCTGCAGCATCCCTGGCTCTGGGTCTTCCTCTGGATATTGTGCTGCTGCCACCCCTGTGGACATGAACACACCCTTTCCCCCAAACACGTCTGTCCCGCTGCGCTTACCTGTCCATTAAGATTTTCACAGACTTGGTATTCTAGAAGTGGAAGGAGAAGCTCTGGTCAGTAAGGCAAATCCCTGCCATGCCCCCTTTCAGTCTCAGCTTCCATGGCCCCCCAGGAGGGGACAGTCTGACCATGGGCACAGAGCCCCTTTTCCCCTGCATGGGCTGCTCCAGCCCCATCTCCAGCTGTGGCACCTCCTCATTTGAGGCCAGCACTGAGCCTGCCCACTTCTCCTTGGCTTCTTCCACTGCTGAGCACTCTGGAGGTATCAGCCAGCCCTGCTAATGTCCCCATCCTGCTCCCCACCACACCCCACACCTACCCAATTCTTCCCACACAACCAAACCTCTCCAAAGCCCCCTTCCCACTCTGCCATGGGCAGCTTGTCTTACCTTCATGAAGTTGATGTCCTCAGTTTTGTCGAACATGACCTGGACAGAGCTGAGGAGCTTCTTGGCCTCCTGCATGCGCTCATTGAGGTGCAGAACCTGGGCTGCGTTCTCATTGCAGAACTTGGCTTGGGCCTTGTCCAGGATCTCCATGGTCTTCCGCAAGTCCTCATCCAAGATCTGGTGCATCTTCTCATACTGCAGGCGCACTTCATCCTTCAGCTGGCTCACCTTCTCCTGAGGGGGAGGAGCAGGGTCAGGTCCTCTGTGCCCTTCAACCTCTTCCATGATGTCCCAGGACACCCAGGTCCTTTCTTAGCAGTGGAGAATGCAACCTGAAAGCTGCACCCCAGCTCTGCTCTCCTGCAACACCCAGACAGCTCAAACCCTGCTGTCAACTACCACATAGGACTTCTATGTGCCAGAGACCCAACAGGGACATTGTGAAGGTTGGATTGGTTCAGGAGATTCCTGGGTGTACTTCCTCGGGTCTGTGTCCAGAGACCCAATGCCAACCTGCTGCACCACCAATGGAAGTGTGCTTCCCTGAAAAATCCCACCCATCCTCATCTGCATACCCTTTCCCATCTTCATCCTCATCCCCAGCCCCACCCCAGGCTGGAGACACTGCACATTCCAGAGCCTTTCCCTTCATGCTCTGGGAGGCTGTGAGACTTTAAGGACCACAAGCACTCCCTTCCTGAGAAAGGCTGTGCTGAGCCAAGGACAGGATGGGCCATCTAATATTTAAAGAAAGACTTGTTTCTCACCTGCGAACTCAACCCAGGACCCATGGGGCTGCAGAGCAGCTCCAAACACATTTCGTCTCCCAAAATGATGACTGATGACACTGAAATGGAGGCAGGGATACTCTTCCCCTGCACGTTTGCCTTCCGCCCTGCCCACCTGGCACCTGTGTCCCAGGAGCTTGTCCCCATTGTGCCATAGGGTGACAGTCCCTGGGACTGGCTGTGGCAGGGTGAAGCACTGGTTACCTCGACCAGCCGCTTGTCCGATTCCAGCTTGTAGAGTTGCTCCTCGATGTCCTGCTCCCGCTCCTCCAGGCGGTCCTGCTGCTTCATCAGCATCTTCTGCAGAGATGGGGGAAAGCAGCATCGTCAGAGCCCAGCGGCCACGTGTGCCAGTGAACATCAGTGCTGCCCACACTGGCTCTGCCCACATGGTTCAGGAGGGATGGTGCTTTTTCCCAGCAGGATGCCACTGCCAGGCTGAAAGCCCTCACGTAGCTTGTGGAGCTGGGAATCTGGTTATTTCAATGGCAGAAATGGCAAAGGGGCTGCGTGTGCCGGGCTGTGTTATTGGCTGGGTTGGGTCCCCTGGATGGGGCAGCACCTCAGGTAACTTTCTGCAGCCTGCTCAGTGGGGCAGGGTCAGGGCCAAGCCCTGGGGCTGTGGGGGGGACACAGGGAGGCTCATCCCCCACTACAGCAGTACCATTTTGAGGCCCATCATCCATTCATTGCCAGCAGGCTCCTGCGAGACATCACCACCTCCCTCGCGTTCCCGTACGCCATGCCAAATCCTTTCTCCCTTCCCCGCCTCCTTGACAAGCCCCAGAGCCAGCATCAGCGTAATCTGGAGGGACAGAGTGAGGAGGAACAGGGCCTCCCCCCGCCACACTGCCAGCCCCCAGTCCCACTCCTTGGGGCTGGGGCTGGGCCATCCACTGAATAACTGGGACAAAACCTTATCCCCAGCCTCGCTCCTGCATGCTTCCTTCCCGGCCAGGAGAAACCCACTGCCCATGAGAAAAGAGATCCATCCCTGGGAGCAGGGGCAGGGCTTCCCAAAACATCCCTCAAAATCAACTCCAAATATTCGTCCTTCATGTTTACTGGGGGGAAAAGCCAACACACCAGCAGGGCGAGGAGAAGGGCTTTGCCCAGTACAGATGTGGCATTAGAGACTAAGCGACGGGGGCGAGATGGAAAGAAACCGGCAGCAAGAATGAATTTCGAGGGGATTATTGCTATTATAAACCGCCACTCGGGAATTTATAATCAAGTAATTAATTCCTGGACGAGGCGGGAGGGGGAGGGTGGCAGAGGCGCTGCCGGGATTAATTGCATTGCAGGGAAAGGCTGTCACCTCCGACTCAATTCAGGAGAGGAATGCGAAGCCTCCTCCCTCCTGTTGTTTTTCTTAAGGTCTCAGGCACCTCCAGCCTTACTGTCACTGGGCTCCTACCACTAATAATAACGAGGAGCTAAAAAAACCCAGCTTCCCACTCACAGGCACACTCCACATGCATGCCCGGGGCCCACACATGTGCACCCACCCAGACACATGCAGACAGACACACAGACAGCACATCCACTGAAACAGGGCCGAGGGGCAGTCACAGCAACGCAGACCCCCAGCCCACAGGGGGGCATTTGTTGCACGTGCATACAGAAACACAGGGGGGCCTGCAGCATCCAAGGGCATCACTGGAACCATTCGCACGGAGAAAGATTTGAGGCATATACTAAAAAAATCTCCTCTTTTTCATTGTAAAATGGTTGTTGTTTGTGCTGCTGCAGCATCAGGAGGCTGCAGTCCACTCCCAGGTTTAACACTGTGGGAACTGAGCTCTGGAGAGTGAGTGCAACACCACTTTGCTTGAATCTTGGAGAACTGAGGGTGCAGGCTGGAACTGTGTCCTATGTCCTGTGCCAGCAGCCAGGCCTGAGTGTGGAGCTGCTGGGGGCTTCTCTAGGGGCTCAGACAGGGTTTTGGGTCAGGCACCAGGCAGAACTGTGGAGCAAGTGAACAACAGCCCCATGTAGGGAGATTGAAAAGTGGCAGGCAACAAGCCTTTTCCTGGGCTCCAGAGAAAGAGATGTCCTCCAATATCCCTGCTTGCAGGAGGCCAGTTGAGTGTGGGAGTTGGGCAGGTTGTGCAGCGCAGGCTGAGCTGCTCACACCCCATAATGGGCAGCCAAAGGACACAGCGAGCTTTGCACCAAGCCCTTCCCTACACCTCCCTCCCTGCCACAGATTTGCCATCTCCACCAGGGACATCTAGACCCATCCCACACCAGCCCACCAGGAGGACAGCCAAGTCTAACCAGGCCCACAGGAGCAGCCCAATCCTCAGCCTGACTTCACCCTGTCTGCCAGCTGGGACAGGAGCGGGTAAAAAACAGCAAAGGATCCGAGGCTGACAGCTTGCTGGGCACAGAGGCCAAATCCCCATCCCACTCCGTCATACCCATCAGATATCTGACATACCCGAGGCAGACACTTCCCCCTGACACTGCCAGGATGATCTTGCAGGAGAAAGCAGGGTTTCCTATCAGTGGCAGATGCCAGGCAGGCAGAGACCACCCTGCCAGCCCCACTGGTGTGAGGGACCCCCGAGGGAGGCACCAAACAGCCCCGGACATGCACGTACCATCGCCCTGCAGCTGCCGTGGCAGAGCTGCCAACCTTTGTGTTTTGTAACAAACTTCAGACTGCTCCACTCCAGGAGTCATGCAATTATGTGAAATCAGAAATACACATATAAACATATGTAAAAATAACTTTTTATACTTATCCCCTCATAGCTGGAAAAAGTGACCATAATCCAACATAGAAATCAGAGAGAATAGAGGACATGCAGCACTTTCTTTAAACCTTATATTTGAGCCATTCTCTTGATTTTAGGGTGATTTAAAAACTGTATGTGCCTGGGGTTGCAGTGGAATGGGAGGGCTTTTCACCCACGGCAACAAAACCTTAACCAGACACAAGGGTATGAACTACCCCTTCTGGCACCAAGGGGTGAAATCTCTTTGTCTATGCAGCACAGGCTGAATTCCTTAGGTATTTTGAAAAGGAAAATACATCCCTTCCCCTTCCATCCCCTCCCAAATCTGGCATTTCTGAAGTTATGAACTCCTCCTCCTCCAGGATCAGAATTTCTCAGGGTATTTTCTCATATTTCATGCATGACCTTGATGCTGGGAGAACCAAGGCTCTCTCTGTACAGGCACCCTTCCCAGGCTGTGAGCAACTCTGATCCCAGTTTGTCTTTTCCGAGACACATCGCCGGTTTGCGAAACGCATGCTAAAAATGCTTCTTATTCCAACACCAGCTGAGAGTGAATTCATCTCATTAATTAATAAATTAATTGGTGGCTGGGGTAAGTGGCTTGTCCACCATGACCCAGTGAGACAGGGTGAGTTCATGGACACCAGCTTATTCTGCAGATGAACATAATCTCTCCCCTCCTCATGGAGAAAATGAAGCGTGGGTACAAAAGGGCTGAGCCCATTCAGAGAGCTGACAAACACACCATGAGCATCAACCCTGCAAGGGAGCTGGACCACCAAAGGTGGAAGGACAAAGGAGGGGATGTTATCGTTGAGTTCCCTTCGGGAGCGAGGGTTTGCTCCTCCCGTGCAGGCAGAGGAGGGTGATTCTTGAGCAGCCATTGTGGCAAGTCAGATGGGTTTGGGGTACCATGGTCATGCACTGGGAGTGAAACACTACTTGGAGGGACATCTCTGCAGGAAGCCAAGCAAGCACTTCAAGGTCTCATTGCAGGGAGGATGCACACAGCTGGTCCCCGTGGGATTGTTCTGGGGGAAGGCTTGGTGACCATCACTATCCATGGCACTTGCTGGGAGGAAACCACCATCAGGGAAACCACAGTCACCCCACCTGCACCTTACTGCACCTCCTGGTCAGTCCCCACAGACTCTGTGCTGACCCCAGCTCCCAGTGGCCATCCCAGCATGGGACACCATCCACTCTGCCAGCCAGGGCATGGGGATATGTCTGCTGGGGGACAGGGCAGTCCCAACAGAGAACTTCTAAAAACATTAAATGCCTACAGCCACAAGACAGGAAGATAGTAATAAAGAGTTTAACAGCTCTGATGATACAGGGCATCTATGCCTCTCATCCGAGAGCCACTGCATGGCTGCAGCACCACAAGCCTCAGGTGTGTTACATACACGGGTCCAGCTCAAGCAGTTGGGAAAACCCCCACTGTGAATTGGGGCACTGAGGTGTAGGAAGGAGGTCACTCACCCAAGACCTCCCAGGAAGGGAGCAATCTGTGGGCAAGATGTCTCCCTTGACTTGTCTTAGGCTGCTCTCAACACTGTCTTCCCCCAAAGGGCAGAGCTAAGCCCGTGGTCACTGCTGAGTCCACAGTAACAGTGGATTATGGCCCTGCCTGCGGCCTGGCACTCCCCTCATCCCCCCTTTGCAGCCCCCAGAAGCTCATTGCCCCGGGGCCAGCATTGGGGCAGTAAAGCCCCATGACATGCTCCAAGGTTTTGTGTTCTCTGAGGTTGGTCAGGGCCCTTGTGTGCCTCCCAGGGAGAGCTGGCACGGGAAAGCCTCTGGCACCCCTTCCCTGGGGGCTTGAGTGCTCACCAGCCCCTGCCCAACTCCCAGCAGGATCAGGAAGGAGCCTGGCAGCTTCACCAGAGGCAGAGCGGTGCCCCATGACCTGCTGAGCCACTCTGGTTTTAAACAAGAGCTGGAGCAGTGAAAAGCCTTACTGTGTTCATAGGGCAAATGGAGCCTGTGCAGCTTCTCTGATGTCTAATAAGCACCGTGCTTCCTTCAGGGCCATTCACCATGCAAGAGCAACCGAGTGCCCACACACTGACCTGTGGGATGCTTGCAGGATGCTAATTCCCAATAAACTCTGCTGAAAACTGTCTGTGGGTTTGGAGGGTATTACAGCAGGGCAGGTGGACAAACCACAAGAGTGCACAGCCCTCATTCCCGTAGGAAACTGGGGGAGCAGAGAGCCAGACTGCCCCACAGAGCACCCTTAAACCACAGCTGGACAGCTGGCCCAGGACAGGCACACTCACTTCTCTGCCTCTCTCCTTCCTCCTCCTCTGCGCCCAGGCCTTCCCCTCGCCGCCAAATCCCAGCCACTGAGTGAATAAGGACATTGTTTGCAGTCACCGGAAAGCCAGAACGGAGGGAGCAGCTTGGAGCATGAGGGGCAGGAAGGCTGAGGAGGAGGAGGAAGGTGGAACCGGAGCGAGGAAGCTGCAAAGGGCAGATGCCTGTTGCGGGAATGGCTCCAGACACCTGCAGCTCAGCCCAGGGACCGGGATCAAGAGCCCCCATTGA